TGTGTTTTTCGACCACATAAAATATTGAAAAAATAAACATTTGAACAGATGTTTTGCCAGCAGCAGTAACAAAAATAATAAAAATTCAGCAACCTAAGTAAAAGGACTGGGGATAACAATAAAGAAAAGTTAAAACATTTAAAATCTTAAGCTGATTTATTATTTTTTTTAGAGAGACAGAAACAAAAAGATCTGACTAATTTTTCCTTTGTAAAATTCTTTTCAAATCGGCTGTTTTTGGTTCTGGAAATCCTTTTTATCAGCTAGATACCAGCTACCAGACAGCAAAGTGAAAAGTGAGATCAGCACATTTTCATATTTTATGCAGAACAAGAGAACAATTAACTTAGGCTCTCTGATTTATGATGTCCCTGTTAATGTTTTATTCTAGTGCACAACCAAATACTTCATGTGTTGTCCCATTAGGTGTGGGCATGATCAGTACTAACTGACATAGCACATTACAACAAATACCACGCATAAACTTTTAATCATTCAATGTTACAGCCATCAGCTTTGGACAAATTGATATAATTATATTGTTGTGGGGTTTTTTTATACCTGTTTTTTGTTGTTGCTTTGTCCATTGTTTACTGCTCCTTGCTTCCCTTGTCCCAATGGTGGGTTTTTAAGCATACAGCTTAATAATAGTGAAAGTGTTTTCACTTTACAGAGCCAGCTTTCAAGTCTTTAAAAAATCCCTTTTAAACAGGGAGAGCACTAATGGACTGAACGTAACCTTCTGAGAAATATTTTACTGAGTCGCAGGCTGTAAGGCTGTATTTAAACCTTGCCAAATGCGTGGTAGAGTGCACGAATTAGCCTTTAGAGGTTCCTTCTAAACTTGAGGTGCATATATAAAACAATTATGCATAATTATTTGCATATTGATTTATTACCGCTGTGCACTGGTGAGAGCTTTTTAATGCATGAAAAATAACTTGTGAGTGACAGGTTGATGGACCATAAATCTATGCAGATTATAGTCTGTTGAAAGTATACTAGGGAATTAAAGTATTTCAAAAATGACTGATTTGAAGTTTATACTGTTTGACATTGAAACAAATGTCAAATAATAGGACATCTGTAGTCAAAATGTGGAAATATTATTTCTCTGCTGCTGGAGAGCATTTTTTATTGTAAAAAAACAAAACAAACTTGAAGCTGCACAATCTTTTTTTGATATATGTCTACATGTTCGGGTTATACAGCTGAGACCAAGAGTTATCAGGAATAAACTCAAATCTGTACATCGATCACAGTGCTGGAGAATTTTATGCACCTCTCATATACACCATTTAACATTTATGCAGTGATTGATTTGTTTATACTGTGCAACCAGCCGATCGGTCAACACATTTTTCTTCTGCCTGTAGGTAAAAGGGCAGGGCCCTTCCTCTTTTCCTCTTTTTGTTCATCCAGCCATCAGCCTGGTGTGTGTGATCAGTGGGTAAAATGAGTGTGTAGAGTGGTAACTCCAGCCGAGTGGATAGAAAATGAAATGGAAGACTATTTTTCTTGGACAGATTTCAAAACTGAAGGGACTCAGTCACTTACTGTAATCCTCTTCTTATATCCAGACTGAAATGCCACATTTTAGGTTTAATCCTGTAAGGATACGCTCTGGTAAACTAGTGCATTAATATCTTATTTCATTGTGTTAATTTGATTTCCTTAGTGTTGTACATTTGTTTCCGTGCTTAGTTTCTAGTTTAGTAGCTGCAACTGGCTACAATGATTAACATGTGACACTCAACCTGTGTCACAAATGCCCTCATCAATTAATTCATATGCCTCAACCTATTTAACCAAACCAAAATAACATGGAATATTTGTATTGTGTTTTCTTTATCAGAAAGATTTTTTATTTGAAAGAACACCAAATTACATAGCAAAGAATATATTTATACTGAGCTTCAGTGTCTTCTCAATTTTCAGGTTTTTATAAGGCTCCCAAATCTCAAACTCACTCTTTTTATTCTAGAAACTTTTAACACCACCTATTTTCTTAACACCAAAACTGTCAGATGGCAAACAGTCTTTTTTCAACTTATGGTGATTCCTTGTAGGGGTGTTCAGATGAAAAGCCCTGGTATTTTTTTTATTATTAATTATTATTAATATTAATAGAATTAGAAAATTTATGTCATTTATTTAGAGAAATTACTGTTAGTTGATAAGTTCATTGGCATCTTTAGCTTATTTATATTGTTTGCGTTCCTTTTTAGTTCTGTTTATTTGAATAAAAGAAATGTGCGCACTGAATCATACATATTGAATGTCAATATATACCGACGCTGCTTGACTGGGTCGCGCTACTAGACCAGCATCTTCCGAGGACCACAGATCACCTCCTTATCGATCCCCTTCAAAGATGTTTTCTGTGATACATTTTAGGCCCCAGTGGTAACCTTAACAGAAACTATAAGTCTAAAGGGGAAAAAAACTGGGCCCCTGATAGGAGATAGTCATGTGCTACTATTACTTGATATAGCAAGGCTAAAAGGATAAGACAGTACTAAACAATCAAACTTAAAATCTACAAAGGCTCAGGTACAGCTAGACACAGAGTTACTAATAGACACTAAGTTGTATAAACTCAGTTGATTGAACATTAGATCTCTGTCAGCAAAACCTCTCATTGGAGAAGTGCTACACCAGTAAGGACTGTCGAAAAGCTGAATGCAGATGGCAAAAGTCTGGACTGCAGGTTCACCACAAGATCTATAAAGAGAGGCTTCAAAGATATAACCTACAATTCCAAGTTATAGCTGTGGTCATTGGTCATATAAAGTCTTCCTTCTCTGAGATGATCAGCAAAAACATTAACAAGTCTTATTTGTTGTCAACTACCACCAAATAAACTACAAAAACAGAATAAACCATAAACCAGCTAAGCTCTTCCTGCTGATATCTCACTGTTTTTTACCCTCAGCCTTCCTTAGGAAACTCTACTTGTCATAAAATATGATTTAACTCAAATAATAATCCATGTTGTTTTTGTCAGATGTTCCCCCCAGGCCCTAAAAACAGCAGTTATCAGACTGCTGTTGAAAAAGACCATTTTGGACAAACTGCTACTGCAAAACAACAAGACCATCATAACCATCAGTAGGCTTATTAAAAAACCTGTTTTAAACAGCTAAACGCCTTCCTAACAATGACCAATGGTTTTAATATTCCCCAGTCAGGCTGCCCTGTTCACCAAAGCCCAGATGTATTCATTGACATCCTTATACTGTAGGTGCAGGCTGTGGAAAAACTACAGTGCTGTTGATCCCTTTTTTTTATATTGGAGTGCCTTTCTGCTACCGCACGTGAATGTTTGAAATCCTACTTGATGTACAGGGAATTTTTGGTTTCAGTAGGTAACTTTAAGATCATCAGTGCAGTTTCCAAATCAATCAGTGATGCTACACGTTGTATTTCACACTGAAAGAAAGGATTGTAGCTTTAAATGGTTCATCTGGTTATCAAAAGCATTGATTGTAAGTGAAATAATTACAACTTACTTCCTTACTTTCATAAATACTTTTGCTATGTGGAGGAAGGCCTTTCTTTTTTTCTATTAGGGTCCGCCTTTGTGTTGAGCAATCTGCTTAATGTCCTGAAAAAAGCTAACGGAAGACCGTATTATTGTTTTAAATTTCCTTCTGTTGATGTCAGCAAGGAGAAATCTAGTAAATGTCCTTGGTCATCTTCATCATCCAGCCAGTTTATCATTATTAAAGCTGATTTTTAAATCTGCATGATGATGGCACGTGAAATTAGGTATAGTTAAACTGGGATTTAAGGGAAAAAACAAATAGTTCTTATACTTAGCTTATTTTTATTTATGACTGAACCTTATTGCATACAGACTATTATTATCCTGCAAAATAAACACTTTAAGCTCTAACATTTAGCTCGGTGTATTTATAGCATCATTCTGGAGGATTAAACTAGGAGCCAATGTCATATTTTATAATTGCTGTGAGAATTGCTTCTCTCAGCTTTTTGACTCCAGTATGAGCTGAGTGCGAATATTGTTGTGCTGCTTTCACTGACACAGAAAAACTCCAATCACTCTTAATACTGTGCTCATACTCCCTTATTTTTTTCATAATGCACCTTTTTTATTCCAAACACTAAGTAAATACCGCAGCCCAATGTGTGCATAATTGTAATACTCTGCCTTTCTGTTCCTTTTTAGTGGTAAATGTTTTTTTTTTTTTTACTTCATATTGATGGCTGCGTCAGCTGCAACCAGCAGCAGTGCCTTGCTGACTTTTCGTGATAGATGGCCCCAAATGTTTTAACTGCCTGCAGCGAGATCCAAACTCTTTCTGGGCAATTACTTGTTTGGCTTGCTCCCTTCTTAATGTATATATGTCAATCTTTGCCAAAGTGATGAACAAAAGCTCTCTCCATGCATGAGAGGAAAAATTCCCTCCATCTTTTGCCTACTTCACTTTGCATCCCAACTTTACTACCTGTGAGCCAAACAGTCTGTTAGAGTTCTTCAGTGCTGGATTTTTTTTTTTTTCAATGAAATTTGTTGTTCGTATTAACCGGAAGCTTGATTTAACATCTGTGTTTTAGCTTTCCTTGAAAATTAAGCCAGCATTCTTACTGGCTGGGATGCTTGGTATCCATGGCAACATGAGGTCCATTACAAGTGCCATAAAGAGCGAGCAAGAGAATGTTAAATCACCAGACTGCCAGTTCCCATCACCTCACTGGGTTGATTGTGTAACTTACACGCCCACAAGAGGATACCTTCTGTTAACCATTTTTTTTACTGCTCACTCTTACATTCTCCTTTCTGTTACATCTTACCAGCTCCACATTCATGTCATGCTATTTCTGTTGCATATATATACATGCTATCATATTAACACCCAACCGCAACGACACATAAACCTACAGTAAGAAAGTGAGTCCAACACTGACCCCAAGTGGAAAAGCCTGACAGATTCCTGTAAGACAACCCAACTCTGAACTTCCTTTGTGTCACTTAGGTTTTTACGCGCTACGGGAAATGTTACACCTTCAATGCCGGTGGAGATGGACGACCCCCACTCATCACCACCAAAGGCGGAATGGGCAACGGACTGGAGATCATGCTGGACATTCAGCAGGATGAATACCTGCCAGTCTGGGGAGAAACAGGTAAAAAGTCAATTTCAGTGGAGTGTTTGAAAGGCAAATGTATTAGTTTCACTGGTAATACCTTTCTTATCTATTATCTCACTCTCTCTTTATCTTTGTCCCCCTACCAAGATGAGACTTCATTTGAAGCTGGGATCAAAGTTCAGATCCACAGTCAGGAGGAGCCACCCTTCATCGACCAGCTCGGATTTGGTGTTTCACCAGGTTTTCAGACGTTTGTCTCCTGCCAGGAGCAGCGGGTACATATTCTAGAATGTGGAGCTTAGATTTTAGTTCTGTTTCTCACTTTACTCCAATTCCCGAGGCACATTCTATTCTTTAATTCATATTTTATGAAAAGTTTAAAGTTTCTCCACTTGTGTGTCATTAATAATTATACTTTATTCTGACATCTTGTAAATGGCAGCTGTTCTGTCTGTATGTGGAAAAGAACCACCCAAATAGCATAAGCTCAGGGATGATGTCATATCAAATTAAGACTGTCATATTTCATGCTTGCACCAAGTGATTTTAGAAAAGGCCTATTGGTTAAATGAAAAATGATGAAATGCCATCATTTTCATTAATAATATATGAACCCCATCAGATGCCCTGGACAAAAAATGATTAGTGGATGTATGTGGACCAAAGAGGACATTTGGTCAGCCTATACTCTATGCACCATGTTAATCACCACTGTATAGTGCTCTAATAGTATGTTTGTAATTATTTTCCTTTTCATCACATTTCAGAAACTATGATGAATTGGTCTAAATGTTTTCCAAGTGTTTGCAGGAAAGAGTTAGACAGTGTCCCTCACTTGCAATATGGACTTAGCCGTTTTGGGGCCCCAGCAAACTTTAGTCAGGGTGCCCTCCTCCAAGTCAGCCTTAAAGTCCCGGTCGGCCCCAAGTGTTACAGATTCTGTTTCCTGTCTTGATTAGATTGCAGTTCTTAAAGGCAACTAGTGCCACGAATGTGGCAGTCAATAGACTTTTGTTTGATAAAATACTAATCTGCATTTTAAGCAGCAATCATATATTTTACCCTTTGAAATCTGGAAACACTGTCGGGATTTTTTTTTACATTTCTTGGATGATGAGAAAAAACAAATACGCCTTATTATTTCCTGTCAGTCACTGTATGTTTGTTTTCCACAGTTATGAAGATTGTTTGACCTTTGGAAGCAAAGGCAAAATGCTGCAAAATATCTTTAGCTATTGTCTTGTTTGGATTTAATGTTTTGGTTTATATCTATACTTTTGGGTAAATAGATCTAAATTCTGAACTGATTTTGATCAGACATGTGTGAAGCCAGTCATCTTTATTTTTCATTTCTTTCTCCACAAAATAAGATTGTCTGTCAAATAAATGTCCAGTTTCTAAAATAATAGATTGTAAATCATGCTCAGTCTATAACTACTATTCAACCCTCCTAATTTACAAATTTAACAAATGCTTGATTTTCCGCTTTTAAAGTTTTTATTTATTTTTTTATTTATGAAGACCTGAATTGTTTGTTTTCATTGCAGCTCATATATCTGCCCCCACCCTGGGGAGACTGTAAGGTGACACCCATGGATTCAGAATTCTTTGAAACTTACAGCATCACAGCTTGCCGCATAGACTGTGAGACTCGCTATCTATTCGACAACTGTAACTGCCGCATGGTGCACATGCCCGGTAGGACACAAACATCTGTTGTATGAGAGTTAAAGCAGTGAATACTTGGATAAAGACACTTAGAGCTGTTGTTTGTGTTGCTTGTGCCTCAGGCAATGCTGATTTCTGCACCCCCCAGGTGTACAAAGAATGTGCTGACCCAGCTCTTGGTAAGAAAAATCACCTTCCTGCAGACATAGCTTAAACATAACAATTTCAAAAGAGGTTTGAATTTTATAATTTTAAAAAGCACTGAATAAAATGCATTTTTGTCATGTTATCACCAGCATGTTATTACCTCATACAGTGTTTGATTTGGATTTTATAGGACAAACTATTTTAATTTAAAGGTTTATGAGGTTTTATGTATTTAGACCTACTGTGTTAATAATTTTTAGAGCCACTTTTGCTATAATCCAACAGAAAATCTTTTGAGGTATGTCTCTATCCAAATTGCACATTTAGAGACTACATCATTTTACCAAGTTCTCCTTCAAAAATAAATATTGGTGCCATAGATTTCTGGGTGGTTTTGTTAACTCTAATCAGTTAATTTCAATAAGTGAACAAGCTTGATCTAAAAATTTTTACTGTAGTTCTGGTTATAAATGTAATTTTGTTAGTTTGAAGTTTAACCACTGCCATTGTGCGCAGCCCGGGGAGCAGTCAAGGGTGAAGGGTCTTGCTCAGTGGCAGTCTGTGGGATTGGGTTTAGAACCCACAACCTCCGCATTCCAAGTGGAATGACACTTTTTTTCTACTTTAATAATGATTTACCATTTACCAACAGTTTTGCATGTGTAGTCTGTGAGCCATTTATATAGGTTTGACATCTCTGTCCATGTCATGATTGGCTTAAGAGACTTAACCCACATGCAGAACACCACTGGAAGCAGAGTAAAAGTTTAACAGAGTTTATTGAAGGTTTTCACACAAAGAACATGAACTGGTTCAGGCACTGGTCCAGGACTGGATTCACTGATGTCTGCAGAGACAGATAGTTTGATTAGCCAGGTAGTCAGATGATTTGTAGAATTTAGATTATTCAGAATATACCTTGAAGAGGTCCAGACTGATCTTTGTGAGAGAGGGAACCGGTTGGGTCCAGAGACTGTTGGTTCAGCAGAGTGCTCAGCAGCAGCAGCGTCTAGATTCTGACTTGTGAGTGGCAGACCTTGGTTTGAGATTCCAGCTCTTCCTTGAGAGCAGCAGGAGGAGTCCAGATTGAGATCTTCAGGTTTGGCTCCCTTAGGCAGGCAGGCAGGTTTACAGGCAAAGCTCATCCAGAGCTTAGGGCTTAGACAGGTTTCCAAACTTGGTCAACACTGCGGCGTTGAAGGAAGGTCTGGCTGCTGCTTATGTAGGAAGGTCTCCTGATGGGCTGATGAGCGTCAGGTGTGCTGGAGGGCTCCAGCCCAGGAGACCCACAGCGCACTCTGCTGGAGAAAGGTGGTGAATCTCCAGATCCCAACAGTCCAGGGTTTGGCCCCTGGTCCCAGGACCTTTGCCATTTGCCTCTTCCCTCTATTCTAACCCTATCTCCTTTCAGCAACCTGTCAATTAAAACAAACTACTGCCATATTAATCCAACTTAGTTGTGTCCTCTAGACAGTTTGTCCATTTCAGTGGTTATATATGTAGTTGTAATATACTCATTCCATCTTTGTACAATAAACTGTGCTGTTGCTTTAGGCCTTTTCACAACTTAATCTCTTGCATCAAAAAAAATCTTTACCTTTTTCTAACACACACACACTAATCTAATCAAATAAAATGTATTAAAATGTGTTTTTGCAAATCACAGCATGAAGAAATTTCAAGAATTATGATGCAAGGTCTATCGAGTATTTGCTCTATCCCATAGGAATGATGGAGGCCCCACCAACATGAATCTTACCAGTTACACACGCACTGATCCAAAGGTCAAACTGAACTGTCTTCTTTTCCCCCAGATTTCTTGGTAGAACAAGACAATGACTTCTGTGTATGTGAGACGCCGTGCAACATGACCAGGTACAGCAAAGAGCTGTCCTTCGTCAAGATCCCCAGCAAAGCATCAGCCAAGTATCTGGCAAAGAAATACAACAAAACAGAGCAGTACATTAAGTAAGTATGATAATAAAACTGATTTTGGTTTCTGACTTCTCCTTTTTAAAGTGTATAACTGAGAAAGATAAATTATTTTATTGCATTCCCGTTTTCTTATGTTATAATATTTTAGGATGTTGCTGTACTTCAAAGTCTAATAGAGTGTTTTTTATCATATGTTTATCTTGTTTGGACAGGGATAACATTTTGGTTTTGGACATCTTCTTTGAGGCTCTAAACTATGAGACTATTGAACAGAAGAAAGCATATGAAGTGGCCGGCCTTTTAGGTATTGCTAATAATTTGTCATCCTGTATGAAATATGTTTTTTATGTGTAATCTTGTGCTGTGCGTGTTGGATAAACTCTTTTTCTCTTATTTAAGGTGACATCGGTGGTCAGATGGGGCTCTTTATTGGGGCTAGCATTCTGAGTATTCTGGAGATTTTTGACTACTTGTATGAGGTGAGAAAGTGTTTTCAGACACATGGAGGAATCTAATGGTCAATAAAAATGTTGCTTGTAATAATTAAAATGGTAAATCGTGCAAACTTTAGATATATTTAAAATAACATTAGATAGAGAAAAAGAAGTCTGATTGTGTAATAACAAAATAATAACATAAAATTAAGAAACACTCAAATATTTTAAACATCTGATGGTGTTGTTGAGACTTCTCTATTAACCCCTTCAGGTGATAAAATACAAGCTGTGTCGCTGTTCTGATAAGAAGCACAAACACAACAGCGCTGACCAGAGAACAGTCCTGAGCTTAGATGACGTCAAGTGTCACGTCAGTAACTTTCACTAAGCCTCTGCTTTCTGGAGGAGGGAACGTCTGCAAGACTTTGCTGCTGCAAGAGTAAAGGATGTGTGGATGAAAGAACTCTGCCTGGTTAGGCTTTACTTTCTCAGTGAGTGGCCATATGCATAAAGGAAGTTGAAGTTCCACAGACATTGAACAAGCTTCAGATACCAGAGATCAACCTGATCTGAACATAGATCAACTGCATGGTCATCTGTAAACAACTTCTAAAGAAGTAGCAAGGAATGCAGCAAAATGTGCATCATCTAAATGCAGATTTTAAATGTGTACTGTGCTGTGGTGTTTTTATCTGTCAGAGTGATTAGGCTTCATGTAAACTGATTGTTGAATTGCAAGAATTTTTCTGAGTCCCACACTGGCCCTGTTGCCTTTATTCTCCTATTTTTCACCAGAGGAAAAAAATATATATATTCTTTGTCCTTAAAAGCATCTTTCCTGTATATACCCTGCCAAAACACTTTACTACCTCAGCTTATGTGCAACATTGCCACTGAGTTTTTAGACATAGCTAAACTGACCATTATTAGGATAATCTTTTCCTGAAAAAGTAAAACATAAGTGGCTACAAATCTGCAAGAAGGCCAATCCAACAATAGGCATACTGTTAAGGTTCTTCAGTTTCATAGTTTATTGCAGTTTGATTTAAACCTTCTGGTGATGGATTTGTATTTTTTGTGCCTTTTAAAGTTACTGTAGGCGCTTTGGGTTTTTTTCTTTACATTTCATGATTTTCATACAAAATGAACAATATTATAGTGAAGTTATTGCTTTGACTGCGGCGCCTTTTCTTAAACTATCATTCTTCTTTACCCGCATGCGCCTCTTTGCCCCCTATTTGCTGTTTGCCTCGCATGAGATTTCCACGCATGCCAGGTGCTTTTGTCGTTGATTTTGATGTGTTTCTGTAACAGTGCCACCAAAAGGCCCAGCATACATCGTACAGCACCTTCAGTGGTGCTAATTGAAGGACTTTTTTTCCTTTATTGTTAATGAAAAGATACCATGTCTTTTTTTTTGTGGACCTCGCCTCATTGTTAAACAAATTTGTGAAGTTGAAGATCAAGATATATATCAACAAGTTACTATTTTCCTGTAGAATTTCCAAATAACAAAGATTATTAGGGATGCCAATAGTTGTAGTTCCAATGACTTTGTTCAAGGAGCTTGCTGAAAATGTTTGTGTTTTATCCCTCATATAAAATGTATTTAAATTAGAGGTCAGATTGTTCTCATATTTTGAGTTTGAAATGTATTCTATTGCACTCAAAGATTTATTTATCTTAAGGCTTTTTACTTTTTCACCAGAGGTGCCAACAGTTGAGGGGGGCATGCAGAGAAAGATGTCAGCAATGCATTCATCTAACAGTTCAGAGCTCTGGTTCTCAAGCTTATAACAAGTAACACCTCGGGCTCTACAGTAGTGCAACTCGAATGAACTTATTCAGTTTGCATTGATTTTTAAAACAAAAAAAGAATAGAAGAAAATTATATAGATTCTCAGTATTTTACCTATGTCTGTTTAGTTGAAGGGAGCAGATTAATAATACATTCAATTTTGACTGAGAGTTCAAAACGTTCAATTTCCAGCATATAAAATTAGACAGGAAGTAAACTTTAGTCAGCAACCTGCGAGAAAGGGGGAATGTTTCTTACTATTTCTTCCCAATATCCTAAACAGTTAGTCTTTAAAATGCAGTAATAATTACATTAATAAACTGTTCATTTCATATCGGACATGTCGTGTTCCATTAAACAATTAGTACCACACAACATATGTTAATATCTCCTTTTAGAGTTGTGACATACATAAAAAGTAAAGAAGCAACCTGTCATTAACTTGTATTGCTAATAGTAATAGGATTTTCACTGAGACAAGCCATTACTGCAGCATAACCTTCCTTGTTATGCTGCATACATGTTATAGGTAAACAAGTAACCACTTACATTTGCTGATAGTTCAGTATAGCCTGGAATTAGCCTTGTGTTTGTAAATGGTTAATACAGTTATAAGGAAGCCAAGTACTATCCTTTGTATTTGTGCCACAGTTTGAGAACCAAGGCTTCAGAAGCCAAAATACAGAAGTGGGTGTTGTATTTCAGCCCCAATGCCCATATCTGCAGGTTGGCATTTGAATCCTCTGTAACTCTGACCCAACCTAGTGCTATAAGATTAGCAGTTCATATCTTCTATTAGGTAAATCCTCAATGCAATCAGCCTTCTACTGATGGAGGTCAAATATGACTTCAGTTGAAATAAGCACTAGAGAGGCAATCCCTCTGTCATGCTGCAGGCTCTTTCAATATCATGCAGGTAGCGTTTTTTTAAGGATAGCTGCTCAGTGGTCAGTTATTAACATTAGGTCGTTGCAGGTTTGGTTCTTTGTAATCTGGGACCGTTGTAGACAAAGTGGCTTTTGATTTGGCCACACCAAAACAATAAAAAACCTGCATATAAAAGATATAAGACCATAAAACATGCCGGTGGTAAATCTAGTCAGTAAAAAGAATACAGGATTGGATATCATTCCTAAATAACATCTTTTGGAGCTTTTCCTAAATTTGAGTCATTCTGTAAGTGTACAAAAACATTACTACTAATATAGTATGAAATATGTGTTAAAAAATATGTCAATCATAATGAAAAACAATCAGAAAAGAAGTTAAAATAAAAATCGGCCGCAACAAATGAAATAAAAATTTTAAAAAAAATTCATAAGTATGTATTTGTAGATGCCACATACTGTGAAAAATTGCCCTAAAACTGAAGGGTAACTGTAAATCCCCAAACAAAAACAAAAAAAACTATTTAAATGGGAAAGATACATTTCTCATATCAAATAACTTTTAGTAAATATAACAGAGAGAGACCACATCAATGAGGATGAATATAGTGAATGTGCTTTTCCATCTTCTATAGGGCTCTGACATGCATGTATAAGTGCACAGCAGGTTTTCTAAAAAAAAAATGAGCACATCAATCATTTGTGTCCTCTTTTTGCTTGCAGTATGCTCAATGATATTTGTACCATATGTCCTGACATTGCTTAGGCCATGGAAAGGTAAAGCACTCGAGGGGGAAAGGAGGTATATGCTGCCCTCTGTTAGCCTGCAAACATAAATTTCTGCTCTGTTTCCATCTTAAATGTTGCATCTTAGCTGAGCTCGATATAAGCTCCAGGAAAAAGGAATGTGTAGCTGTGTTGTGTTTGCATCCAGCTCAAACAAACTGTCAGTTGTAAGTTGATGTAAATACTGCTGTGACCGTGAATAATAGCCCTATTGTATTAGTGCCATTTGAGTTGGGTTTATTTGACACAGACTAGCTGTGTGTCTCTGTTTCCTGTACATAAGTCTTGATGATTTATTTATCTTTATTATATGGTATATGGAAAAGCTTCATCTTTTTTATTTGCTTTGTAATAATGAAAACAGATATTTTCATTAATGTAAGTATAAATATCTTCAGTTTTGTTTTTTTCAGTTTCACAACCTCATGAATCTCTCAGAAAGTTCACAGGACTGTGACTATTGTTTTTATTTCCTGAATTTATTGTAAGCTTTAGATTTGTGTTTAAAAAGTGAAGGAGTGTTGTTTTTGTTTGTAGCCCTTTGAATGAAACAGATTTGCAGCAGTATATTTATTAAAGATGATATGCTAACTTTATATATCTGATTTGTCATTTCTTGTGTTACTTACCCCTTTTTCACATTCATTTTTCCTGCATGCTGTCTTCAAGGTGTTTTATCGTGATTCTTCAAGTCAGAGCTTCTTTGTGAAGAGAAAGAGAAAACTCTAGATTTATTGTTTTGCAAATATGAATTGTTATCAACCTGAATAGTTTGTATAATAAAAAAGCTGCAGATACTTTGGGTTATGTGTTTGCTGAATTTATACATTTATAAGACATCTGCCTATATTTTTAAAATGGAATTGACTGGATAAACTGCATTTGTTAATATTAATCTTCAAGTCAAAATACAGATTCACAGATCAATTTATTCTTTTTTTTCTTCTAAGGTTGGTTAAATTGAATTTTATGTATAACTTTAAATATGTTTTTTATTTTTCAAGAAATCTACTTTTAAAATGGAAAATTGGATTAAGTGTAACCAAACTTCTCCAAGAAACTAAAACAGGAGGAAGTATTTTAGCAAATTAAAGCGTGACTGAATTTGTGGCACAAAACCGTGACCTTTTGTCTGCAAACTAAGCTGGATTTTCTCACTGTTCCTGTCCTTAGAAGCTAGACTGCAGAGTTCAGTTCCTTCCTGCATGGCCCCTTCTGTTTGCTGTCCAAAACTTATGCAACAAGTCCTCTTTTGTTTAAAGCCACTGGGCCAAGTATTAATCTCAAAGAGATGTTTCAGACTTCTAATGGGCTTTCTAGGTTTTATTTAGGTATTAGGTCAACAAATGGTGGAGGTCAAAAAAAAAAAAAACTTTTGTTGTTCAGTAAAAATACATCAAAGAATGTTTTTAACTCTTAATTGCACTTTTAACAACCATGTATAATGAGTACTTACTGCAACATTTTGACAAATTTAGTCTACTAGATCTCAGAATCGAACTTTTCCAAACAGTATGGCATTTCCGAGGCCCAAATGTACATATTCAACTCCTGGTCTCTTACTTTGTATTTTTTGAGGTAGCAACAAGACAACAAGACTAACACAGACAAATGTTTCTAGTTTTTATCAAAAAGGTACAAATTGTGCATTTAATTTGTTGTTACTGTAACTGTGTTTATATGCGATTATGTGAAAGTTTAAAATGAAGGAGAATGAAACTGAAACCAGGCAAACTATCAGTAGAATATCTCAGTTATGAGTGGGAGCAAATATTAGAGCCGAGGAGATCAAATCATCTAATGGTTGGATGGTAAATATATAGTCAGTCATAGAGATAGGACATGATAAAAAAGGATTTCTTATGAAATCTAGAGGACCTGAACTATGAATAAAAAAGAAGGAACTGAGAGATGATCCCGAGACAGACTTTTGATGACACCAGTCTTGCCATTAAGCCACAGCTTTCTTGCATCTGCATTATCATCATCATTTCCAAAGGGACGAGGTAAAAAAAGAATAACTATAGGACAAGTCAAGAGTTTATTGTGCTGTAGTTTATGACTGAATTCAGAATGAAGCAGGTTTCAGCAGGTTAAATTCACAAAGAGATTTTTTTCACTCTGCATACTATGTTGGATTTTCATACATTCAAAATTTGATTTGCAGAGTACATGACATATTGGCACGCCAAGTGTTGATCAGAGCAGGACAAGTAAAGAATGGCATTTAAGAGTGGTGGAACATGAATAATATGGAAGCAACTAAACATAAATATAGATATTTGTGTTTGGTTGCTGTTCAGTGCAGCAGGGGATCTCTGCAACTCATCCAGAGTAACCAGAGTAACCCTTATCTTATGTCTCCTGTCCTTATTATTGCTCTACTTCCCTAAAACTTTTCCACCACTTCTTCCTTTGTTTTACTTGTTCGCTAATGTTCTAAAATAATCTTGCTTTTTTTAACTGGATCCATGCCAAAAAAAAAAAGGTAAACCGTGGTGTAGTCATTTACTAAAGGCAGTTGTTAAGTGAAAAGTTAGATTTGATTTTATTCATGAGTAACAGTTTTTGAATATTATGCAGATATGTATTTGTAAAAAAGAAAAAAAATGTTTAAAAGCATGGCTCAGTAACCCTAAAGAACAGATCCTAGCCCCTGTTATGCCCCAACTAAAAAAAAAAATGTTTTTCCTCAAGTGTATTTTCCCCTGATTTAAAGGTATAGTAGAGGATTTTCACCAGCCCTCTCCACTTAACAAAAACAACAACAAAAAAATGCACAGGCACAACCCTGTATTCGCTCCTGAGTGGGAACTCCTGTTAAACAGATGTAAGAGCATGAACGAGCCCATTTCTCCTCGTGCACGCTCTCTATAAAAGTTGCTGTTTGCATCGCTCATACAAGCTTACAGTACTTTCCAAAAGGAGATTTGCAATTTTTCCACTGACAGACTCACCACCGGTAAGTGCAAATGGAGACGAGCAGATAGGACGGCCCTATGTAATCATATCACCAGAATGATTGACAATTAGGAGGACCACTTATTTTAATGACCAACCCAGAAAAACCACTATACATTTAAGCAGGTAGGAAGACAATTTACCAATGCAATAAGAGGATTTACGTATAAAATAAAACAACTCAGTTATCTTATTTCAAGTACATGATATCATATTACAGCATTTCATTTACTTGCTGTTAAATAAAAGGTTTGGGTCTAATGTTTACAAAATAATTTCCCACAGAAGAAAGTGCAAAAAAAAAAAAGAATGACAATAAAAATACCAAGTAGTCTCTTTTTATTTTTCAAGGAGTTGGCAAGCCTATTAGCAATGGCGTAACGACACAACAATAGGCCCACAAGCAACATAATCTGGGGAGGCCCCATATGAAGTACAACAACCGCCCCCCAACCCACCCCCGCCGCCTCCACTGCCGTAGCCAACCGACCCAAAAGGTGCCCCATACATACACTCATCATTTCATCATTCTTCACCTTCACAAGACATGGATATACTTTAGTATATTCTGCTGTAAAGTGAGTCTTATCGGGCTTCCTTGAGTTTCACAGCCCCCCTCCTCACCCATGCTCTCTCCATTCATCTCCTGGTCGCAATCTTCACTCAGTTCTTTGAAAGACCGTGTTTATTTTGTGAAGTTTTTTCCATTCTTCCAGCAGCTCTTCTTTCCTTTTGCTTTTCTGGAATTCACTTAAGTAACTCTTTTTGGTATCCATCGACACTTACACATTATACGTAATGGTTATGGTTTCAATCTATACTCTGGATTACCCATAATTCCAAGTATTGTAAAGAAATAAATACTCCAATACATCGTACTTTTAAGATCTTTATTGTGGTTTGAAACATATATGAGCGGATTTTTTTTTATCAACCGTCTAATGAACTATAGACAGTTATTAACATAGTAATTAAAAGTACCACTGTCTACTCTGCGTTTGGTGTCATGTTTAAACGGCTCACCATCATGTGGAAATCTGGCATGTGTTGGGGTATAAATAAGGTCCAGTCAGTCAATCTAGAATCAGGTGGGACTACATTTGTGTAGGGGCCAACCAGATGTCAGTGACAGGGTCCCTAAGAGCTCGGGGGCCCCTAAGCAACTGTAGTCTTTGCTTACCGATTATGCCTATTAATATATTTATTTTTTGTGTTTGTTATTTTTCTGTTCTGTGTCCCCAGGAAAAGGGCAGTGGTTCCACCCTGGCCCTCCTGGCAAATTCGGTCTAGAACCGCCACTGCTGAAAGAAAAAGTGTTTTAATTCTCAGTTCTGTGCAACAGTGGGACCTTTTACCTGCTGACCTCTGCTCCCTGAAAGTATGAGCAGGACAGTCCTCGCCGGAGTGGGGCGGGCCAGTGGCTCCCCCCCAATAGGCCAATAAAAACACGGAGCTGTTTCATAACAGGATTGCAGTCAGCGCAGCTTCACCTCCGCGGCGGCATCTCCTGAATAATGGCAGCTCCGAAGAAAGTCTGCATCGTGGGCTCCGGAAACTGGCAAGTTGTTGCGTTTATGTGACGAGCTGTCAGGACACGTCAGGGTTGATGGGGCCCACTCAGCTCCTCATTAGTACCGTTAACTAGCAGCAGTCTGCAGAGGGAAGGAAGGTGAATGGAGTTAGTGGCACCATGCAGGAACCTGCTGCTTCATTAGCAGAAACAGAGGCTGTTTTCAGGCACATGATGAAAACTAACGTTCAGGAGAACTGACCGCAGCTCAGTTACCGTTAATGGGATGTTTGTCGCCCTTCAAGTTAGCCATAATAAGAGTGGGTTAGCTTAGCTGGTGCTCAATGCCAGTTCTCTATTAGGAAATCCTGAATATTGGAGTCACCATGTAACTTTGACTCTGTTAAAGAGATTTAACACAACTTTAAGAAAAGAAGAAATGTCCGCAATTAACCGAGGAAATCGGCTTTAATTATCAGCTTTTCTTCCCTGTGAAATTCATTTTATTATTACTTTTTTGCTGGAGATGTTGCATATCACAACACATTTAAAATTGGCTCTTATGCTGACTGCTACTGGTCAGCCAAATAGAAAAATAGATTTTAAATTAGTATAATTGATCTATTAAAAGTCAAATAATAAAAAAATCTAAGGTTTAAAATACCTTTTTTTTTTAAATGTTTTCTGAGTGTGACAGTTTGAACAAAAATTTGTACACGATTTAAAGAAATCTAAGTAAACGTTTTGGTTGCAGTTGGATAGTTTTATTTTAAGTATTTCCCTGAAATTTGCAAGTTTCAAAGTTGGAGCACTTAACAAAAATATTATCGGAGATTAGGGCTGCAACTAACGACTATTTTGCAAATCGATTAATTTGTTGATTATTTTTTCAATTAAAGCTACAGTGTGTAATAATTACAGGGATATACAGTCAGAAATGTAATATATTATACATAACTATGTTATTTTTTATCATCTACGAGCTCAGCCTCTTAACCTTAATATTTGCGTTGCCTTAGAATTCGTTATTTATAATTACATAGGAGCGGGTCTCGCAGCCATGGAGGCAGACATCTTTGCGCTACGGCAGCGCAGAGCCAACAAACTAGCGATTGCGAGATCGCCAAAACGTCACAACGATGTAGAAAAAATAACAGGTATATTTATTATCTTAAGTCTACATGAAATCTATACCCTACACAGACTAATGAAATACTATCTGTAAAATTTTCTATGTAAACAAACCTCATCATTTGAGAAGGTAGGTGATGCGGATGTCGTGGAAGACATTTTGTCCCGTAACGCTCGCCGTACTGTTGGGGGGAAGAAGCGGTGGGGGGGAGATGTTCATGTTGCTGCAGTCTGCAGTCTGACCGCTAGATGTCGCTAAAAGTTACACACTGTAGCTGTAATCGATTAATAATCGGATAACCAAAGGTTCCTTAAAGAAGATTTTTTAATGAAAGTAAAGCAGGTGAAACTAAAACTTTTCCACTTGAAGAGTTCTGGATGGAGCGTATTCACAGACGAAAACATATTTTTATCTTAAACCCCAAAATCTTTGTATATATTTTTTTTACAATTTTGATGTAATTACTTTTCCAAATGGGTTCCTCTCTCAGCTAAAAGCATATTTCCAATCTCTATACTCCAGTTAATGATTAATCCATTACTAAATTGGTTGAAAATTATTTCTGTAATAGATTAATCACAATTAATCTGATTATTTTCAGCCCTACTGGAGATTGAAGAAAGACTGCTGAGCGAGAAAAAAATAAAAAGCTTTAAAATTCGACGATGCTGCTTTGTGCAAAAGGTTGTGGTAACTGAAATTAATTCAAAACGAAATATTTACTATCCAGTGGCACCGATTGAATAGATTAAGGCTGCAGTTTTAATCAGTTAAACAAAAGAAAAAAAAAGAAAATTCCTCCGAATGTTTTTCTCCAATCTTGACATATAAATCTAATATGGCTGCTTCACCTAAAAAACTGATTACTCCTGTTATTTTTTATGTTAAAGTACCATTATGTAGCCCCGCATTATTAATTAGATGTTAAAAATATACTTTTTAGCTATTATAAAGGGAAATTTTCTGAGTTTGAAGTGGAAAAATTCTCACAGGTCAGAGGTTTCCCACCAATCCTGATCTCAAAATCTAGCATGGCTGCCCTGCACACATTAAAACATTATGGTAGCCAAAGCTGGCTATATTTATTAATATTTCTCAAAATATGTATCTCTTTTTATATTTCATAGCACTATTCAACTTGCAGCTTTTAGTTGTAGTTGGCCACATTAGGTAAATTGCCCATTTTTAAAATTTGAGCATAGAGAGATGGTAAATTGGCTGTGATAATAGGAGCCGTCTGGGTCCTCTACTTCAGTTCATAGCAGTCCTCAAACTTTTCATTAGATTAGATAACATGAAATTTCTTCATATTTACCTTGCAAATAATTAATACCAGGATTTGTTATGTTTATTAGCTAATGCAGCCCGAGTCCAACTAGATTAAACTAGAGCAAGACCCGTTTGTCTATTGATTAGCCTGCCGGTTCCTTCAGGTCAGAGAGCAGCGGCTGATAATTAAAGAGAAGCCGTAAATGTTGTATTGTACTCCAGTGAATCAAACACCATGTATATAAAACACTGACTTGTAACTCTTAACCACACAGGGGCTCTGCCATTGCCAAGATTGTTGGTGCAAATGTTGCTCAAAACCCTAAATTTGACAACACTGTAAAGATGTGGGTGTTTGAGGAGCTAGTGAACGGGCGCAAACTGACCGAGATAATCAACACCAGCCATGAAAATGTGAAGTACCTCCCTGGGCACACGCTGCCAACTAATGTGGTAAGAAGCTATTGGTTTATAACAGAGTGATAAATGTTATCACCAGAGTTTGGAGGACCAAAAGGGTCACGATTTTATTTCTATAGCATAATTCAGTACATGGACAATTCAAAGTTCTTTATATAAGATATATAATAAAATAGAAGAAAAATAAAAGCAGAAAAATTTGTAAAAAAACTTAAACAATTTAACCAGAATAAAAGCAAATAAAAAAATAATATGCTGATAAGCCTCTGGCATGATGAAAGCAGGTAGATAAGAAAATAAAAGAGTTAGATCACAACCTTACACTAATAATACCTCAGTTAATAGTTTGACTTCAACAATCAAAGGCAGCTCTAACCAAATTGGTTTGACTTTGACTTAAATTAACTCAGGCTTTTAGCATTTTAACAGTCTTCTGGGAGTTTGGTCCAGATCAGTGGAGCATAGAAACTAAATGCTGCTTCTCCAAGCTGGGCTCTAGTTCTGGGTGTACAGAGTAGGCTTGAACTAGAAGACCTGAGTGGTCTGGGACGTTGATACACTGACAACAAATCTGTTATGAACTGAAGTGTTGATCCATACAGTGATTTATAGACTAACAGATGATTTTAAAGTCTATTCTCTGAGCTACATGGAGCCAGTGGAAGGACTTCAGAACCAGGCTGATGTGTTCTACTTCCTTAGTTCTAGTGAGAACACAGACAGCAGTGTTTTGGATCAGCTGCAGCTGTCTGATGGCAAACCTATGAAGACGCTTTTCAGTTATAGAAAATTTTGGTGGATCCACATATTGATCTGTTCTAAGCATCTTGTCAACCCAGTTACCTTTTGTAACTTTTGTATCTCTGCTTGTCTGTGTGATGTCACACCAGTCCCTACTACAGCAACTAAATATGGATGATGCCAGACCAGTCCCTACTACAGGAACTAAGAATGAATGATGTCAGACCAGTCCCTACTACAGGAACTAAGAATGAATGATGTCAGACCAGTCCCTACTACAGGAACTCAGGCCCCGTCCACACGAAGTCAAAACGAACTTGAAACGCTAATATTTTCCAGAACGTTTGTCGTAAAGACGGAGACGTAAAATAAATGTGATCATCCACACGAATGCATGAAAACACTGCAAAATGTATCCCAGGCCTGTAAGTGGCGCTGTCGTGCCAAAGCAAAAATAGGTGACGAAATGCGGGCATGCGCACTAATATTTATACATGGTTGCCCTGCGGGTCCATTTTCGTGGTTAAGTCAAATTCAGGTGCTGAACTATGTCGTCGATATTGCTCTGTTCTTCCTGGAGATATTCCAGAAGAAGAAGATTCTGTTGTAAGCCCGACAGCAGGGTGAGTAGCATGAGCAGCAACCATTCAACACAGTACGGCGCCATTGTTGTTGTGATACTGTGTCGCGCATGCGTGTTTAGAGGCGACGCTATGACGCATGCGTGTAAAAAAAAAAAAAATGCGGTTAGAGCTTAAAGATGGAAACGCGAAAACGGCGTTTCAAAATCTTCCCACTCTGAAGGCTGAATAAAAAACAGATCGTTTACAGACCCCGAAACGCCGGCTTCGTATGGATGAGAGGCTGGTTTGGTGAAAAATTTGTGCGTTTAGGCCAGGGTTCGGCTTCGTGTGGACGGGGCCTAAGTATGAATGATGTCAGACCAGTCCCTACTACAGGAACAAAGTGCTTATCTGTCGCTACTAGCACACTCAGTGTGAGGAATTGCTATTGAGTCAAATAGTCGATGCAATCAACTGGTTTTCCTTAGACAGAAAACTTTGAACCAATCTGACTGTATGATCTGGTTGAATTGTCTCTGTAAAGTTCCTCTAGATGACATGTGTTGTGAATTTGCGCTATATAAATAAACTGAATTGAATTTCGTTTCTGTGTGGTGGCTACATTGGGGAAGTCCAATGCATTCCATTTGCTGTTTTTGCAAACTGCATGTTTTAGTGCTTGAGATGCAAAAACTCATAAAAATTTTTGAAGCATTTTAAGGATAGAAAAATAAGGAAAAGAAACAGCAATATCTAGGTTAGTCACATTCAATCTTACAATGCAGTCGTTACCAATAGTTTTTTGCAATTTCATGTTTTCCAATACTTCCCACTTTGTTATACATGGTGACTAATATTATTGTACTTTTATTAATGTTTTATGTTAGATGTATCATGCACTAAAGTTAGATAACATGGATGTGCTTGATGTAGGTTGAAAGACTCCTTATTTAGATTATAATTAAACCCCAAAAGATCCCTGGTCTGGTTATCACAGTTCTATAATTTTTCTTCAGGCTTTCAGTGCCTCATGAAGATGCTTTTATTTAATATTAACTTTATTTTTCATATTTTTGGATTTATTTCATGCAGCAGACTTTTTAATGCTAATTGTTCCTTTTTTGCAACCACATCCTCCCCTGCCTCTCAGCTGGCGGTTCCAGACCTGGTGGAGGCATCCAGGGATGCAGACATTCTGGTGTTTGTGATCCCGCACCAGTTCGTCGGCAAAGTGTGTGACACATTAAAGGGCAAGGTTAAAAGCGACGCGCTCGGAATATCCCTCATTAAGGTCAGACTTTGCTCTCCATGCACAGAGTTTATGATCAGATGTCAATGTTTCACTCTTTCATCTCAGACCTCTGGCTTTGTCATGCCACTTTGATGTGGTCTGTGGTTGTGCAATGCGATCATTGACCCAGACACGACTCTTTCACTCTTTTGCCTTCTCCAGGGTGTAGATGAGGGGCCTGATGGACTTAAACTCATCTCTGATGTAATCCAGGAGAAGCTCGGTATCACAATGAGCGTGCTTATGGGAGCCAACATTGCTAACGAAGTTGCAGATGAGAAGTTCTGTGAGACCACTATTGGTGAGCCTGACACCCCGGAGGCCTCACTGTGTGTTATCAATCAATTATTTTATTTTTATTTATTTTACATATTGTCTGTAAAGAATTCTAAAAGGATTTACTGACATCAAACATTTTTTTAATGCATGAGTATTTAGTCAGACCTTGCAAATTTAGTTTGTGTTACGACGTTTCAGCATAACCAGCCATTTCATTTTTGTTTTGCAGGATGTAAGAATAAAAACCACGGGACTCTTCTGAAAGAGCTCATGCAGACCAGTAACTTCAGAGTGACTGTAGTCGAAGAGTACGATGTGGTGGAAATTTGTGGAGCTCTGAAGGTGAGCTCTTAGAACAACATGCTGGGTCAAACTTAGGTCTCCATGTTTTATATGAAGTTCATGCAAATTAACCATCTTCATTTATTCTGTTACATTTGGTAGAAAGTAGTTATGGCATCTTCCAAAAGGATTTTCAATTTTTTAGCCCATTTCAATCAAAAACCTCACTTTTCCATCAAAAGTCCTGCATTTGTTTTACAGAGGCAAGGGTTTTTTTGAGCAATCTGTATGTCTTCTGATTTCTATCAAAGTCTATAAAAGTCGCCCCACCCCATCAGATCAGGACTTTTTATCTATAAAGTTGTGACTCAGTAAAAGTGAAATTACTCTTGAAAATCAAAAAACACAGTGTTATGGTTCTCCCCTTGTGGACCCCTGTTTGAGTTTTCAGTTCCACTTTGATTTATGTTATTCTGTGTTTTCTTGTTTATTTGTTTCTTTTTCATTTATGTTATATTTATGCAGTCTTGTATTTTTTGAGTTGCTCTCTGTTGCCCCCTTGTGCCAGTCTCCTTTCCCTTTTCTCCTTCTAGTTACTTCTTTCTACACCCTCTCCCCATCAGCTAATTAGTACTCCCATTGTTTCTGTCTCCCATATATACACCACCTGTTCATTTACTCTTTGCATGTGTGTTATCCCCTGATGTCTCCTGGTTTTTAGTTCTTGGATTTTGTTTCTGTTACCTATTTTCATTAAGTCATCAAAACACACCTCTACCTCATCCTCTCTTCATTTGGGTCCTCAAAAAACCTCCAACCTTTGTTGACACACAGAGGGCTTTCAAAAGCCTTGGTAATGACTCAAAGTGCCTGCAATGAAATAGGGGGCCGATATATTTTACTTAGTAAATTAGGTGTATTACAGATGGAGGGAAAATTGTATTTTGTATTGTCGTTTAGCGACGCAATTGCACAAAAAAACAAATGTCTTTTCGAACAGACTATATTAAAAACATCTTGTGTTCTTTGACAGTAAAATGAGTGTGTTCGAATTCTTGGGCTACGTCTTACAAGGACTCGGTCAACTTGGACTGGGTCCTTCAAATTCCATGAAAATAAGGAGACCAGAAGAGTTACTCAAAAGTCGTCTCGTCTAGCTTATCCAAAACCTATGAGTACCTTGCACATAACTTATCAAGAACTTTTCTCCAACACATATCAACGTACCTGACGTCTTCCAGACGACCACTGAACGTGTTTCTAACTTACAGCTTCCATTTATTGGCATATTGGCAGCATTTTGGTATGAAAGGGGGTTCACAGGAGGAAACCGTCAGTATTCCTCCAGACTTTATCCCCATCATAGGATGAGCAAGAAGTTGAATGTGATGGATCCTCCCTGCGTTCATGACCACGACCAACAAACCTAGCAGACGTGACGCTGAATCTTCTTTTTATTTATTCTTTTTTGGGGGCAGGGGGCAAACAGTAGCTAGGTTAATACCACGGTCAATTACATCTTTTTATGTGGACCGGGCACCTGAGGGGAGCAGCGTTAACTGATGCTTTGTAATGCCTATGCAATGGTGCTTGTGCATCATTGCATAGGCATTACGCTGCTGTTCGTTATGCATAAGTTTGGCTGTCGTTGGACATAAGTTCTAGACTTGTTATGAATATGCTATGTATATGTCAAGAATTTAAAGAAATACACAGAAAGTTCAGTGTATGCCTGCGTTTTAGGAGATTCTGGAATGTCAGGCATTCGCTGGTTAAATCGGCAAGGTGTGACAGGGCCCTAAATCAGAAAATATATGAGAAAAACATGTATAAATCTAGTAATAGACTTTGTTTTATATAGTCACATAATAAAAATATTTTCTATTTTTTTTATTGTTTCTATAGTGGCCTACCATGAATGTATGTCTTTGTTGGAGAAGGTGTGTGTGGATAAAAGGGAGGAGAAACCAATTTAGCCAGACCGAGTTTATAATCTATAAAAAGCTCAGAGGAATAAAGGGATGTGATTAACGCTTCAGATTTAATGAGAAAGATGATGGAGTTTGTTCATTCACTGATGGGATGGATTAGTCGAATTTCATTAATTCTACTGATAGTCTGCAAAGTTTGCAGTTGTGTCTCCTGCTTTTCTTCTTCCACCCACTGTGTTTGCTTACGTCCTCTCCCTTCTTTCGTGTGCAGAACATTGTTGCAGTAGGGGCAGGTTTCTGCGACGGTCTGGGCTTCGGGGACAACACCAAGGCAGCAGTGATCAGACTGGGCCTGATGGAGATGATTGCTTTCGCAAGGATTTTCTGCAAAGTTGGGCCCGTTTCCTCTGCAACCTTCCTGGAGAGCTGCGGGGTGGCTGATCTCATCACAACTTGCTACGGAGGACGCAATCGCAAAGTTGCTGAGGCTTTTGTCAAAACAGGAAAAGTGAGAGCATTAACTTTTTATTTGTTTGATTTTTTTTCATAGAAAAACTTTCATTTAGAAGAAAGTGGTATTTTAAGAAGGTTCATAGACCGTGTGCTTTTAATCGTAAACATTTACACAGCACAAATACAGAAACTTGTAGTTTGTCTTGTCTTAATCTGCATTTATTTAGTCATATTTTTATCTTTTTTCCATTAACATGTTCTTCATAAAATTCCTATCCCGAAGCACCCTAACTTAACCTGGCAGTAGCCATATTAATAGGTTTAGAACTGAGTTGAGTACTACGTTATCAATCTGGGATGGCTGACGTTCAGTCTGTCCTTGAAAAAGAGGGATGTTTAATAAAATACTTTGAGCTGATAGGGTGATGTACCAGCTAGTACCCGCTTTCCATAATACACTTTGAGCCAATCGTAGCAGCAAATCGTGCAGCTTTTTGAGTGTTTTCACAATTACTGGAGTAAGCTGATAAATCAAACTTTTTCCAAATCCTGTCGGAAGAAAAGCACAGACATCTTTTCCATCTACAAATGCACAAAGTGCTTCTCTTCAATTGCAGTAAAGAACAGGTTTGTCGTCCACCGTAGCCATGTTTGTAATGCCCTGGATAGCCCCTTCTGACTGTTCTCATTCCAGAAAACACTACTGGCATGTCGTTGGTCCGACTCGCTGGTATTTATGAGACGGATGTATTCGCTGGAGTCTTTCGATATGGATTTGTTTTGAGACTGAAAACTCGGATCTCATCACAATCTAGCTTGCAGCGCAAGGTTAACCCTAACTGGTTTGGGGGGGGGGGGGGGGGGGGACTGGACTGTTGCTCAGTGCTCTAAAGTCCTTTTTTCAGATGACAATACATTTTGGACATCAAGTTCCTGTTGTCTGGAGGATAGTGGAGAAAAACATAATTAAAGTTGGCTTAGCTCCATCATAAAGTTTCTAGACTTCACTCTGTTTTAGAAAGTCTCAAGTAGATCTACCACGAAATGATTTTTATGGAGATGCAGATTTCATCTTCCAGCAGCACACATAGCCAAAGCTATCAATACATACTTTATTGACTTCTGTTCCCATTTGTTTGTGCATCCAACTGTGGGAGTTTTCTATGTCAGAGCTACAGGCTGAACCCCTCCCTTCCATGCTGCATTAATGCACTCCTTTTTATAACAAAAGGCCCAACGAAGTGTTAAAGGTATAGTAGAGGATGTTCTTTTTCCGGGTGGATCATCAAAATAAGCGGTCCTCCTAATTGTCAATCATCCTGGTGATATATTTACGTAAGGCCGTCCTGCGTGCTCGTCCCCATTTCCACTTACCGGTGGTGAGTCTGACATAGTGGAAAAATTGCAAATCTTCTTTTGGAAAGTAAGCTTGTATGAGCGATGCAAACAGCAACTTTTAAACAGAGCGTGCACGAGGAGAAATTGGCTCGTGCACGCTCTTGCACTCAGGAGTGGGTACAGGGTTGTGCATGTGCATTTGTAAATCGTGTCTTATGTGCAAGTGGAGAGGGTGTAACACACACAGACATCCTTCTCAAGTGAATATATGTGCTATTCATTTAACTTTATTGTGGTACTAGTATTCTTCTTCACTGGTGGTGGTTTTCCAAAAAAATACGAAATGCATTTCCCTGCCATATTCCCTCCTGGTTTCTGTCATTAGACTATGTAAATTTACTAGTCTGGTGCCACGAGCGGGATAGCTCTTTACTCAGCAACCACTAGCTTGCTTGACGTTGCCATGACAACGTAACTTCTGTGAACTTGTGTTAATTAGGCCTCAAAATAATGAAATTAAAATCCGAATACACGTAAAAGTAAAATGAAAAGGTCTAAATCGTTTCCCAAAATATTCATAGGAAATGTAGAAATTGTGCAAAGCATTTTCAATAAAATAAAAAAAAATGTCCCTGGTGGAGTAGACGGGTCTTTTCAAAAATTCGCAAAAATCCTCCGCTATACTTTTAAGTACACAGACTTTATTTATTTTGTCATTTTGTATACACAAGTGTATACAAAAAGAAATTTCATTTTTTAAAGTGCAGCCTTGAAAAGAGTCATAGTAAAAGAGAGAAAGTAAAAAAAAATAGCAATATAAACATGACTGTACCTGTTACAGCAGTTAAATTTAAAAAATGCATCCAATGTACAAAATATGATTTTATTAATTATATATATGTAAATTCTAATAAAAATACTTGGTAGTTTACTTTCATTATGTGTCATAATAATCCATTTCAACAGAAATAATTTAAAGTCAGTCTTTGTATGATTAATTTTACTTGTGTTTCATTACTTTTTGATAAAATATAAACGCAATGAGATACCTGTAGTTGACACTGTATTTCATATTGACCAATGTAGATGGTAGCATTACGGTTTTACTGCTCTTTTTAAACATTTCCTTTTGCATATTTATGTATTTCTTTCCAGTCCATCGAGGAACTGGAAAAAGAGATGCTGAACGGGCAGAAGCTGCAGGGACCTGCGACAGCTGCTGAAGTTTATCTCATCCTCAAGCACAAAAACCTGGTTGATAAGTAAGTGAAGAAGTGCAGTGACTTAAGCACCTGTACCTCTGGTCTGCAATCAGCTCAGAAAAGATCAATGCTAAAAGCCTACGTTCTTTGACAGGTTCCCTCTGTTCAACGCCGTGTATCAGATCTGCTTCCAGAGCCATCCTGTCTCAGAGTTCATCAGCTGCTTGCAGAACCACCCAGAGCACATGTGAGAAGGTGGAACTTGCAGGGTTCCTCCTCAACAGGAACACAACCACTGTTTAAACCTGTGAGGAGTGAATCATCATTCATGGTTGAAGACCGACATGTTGACCTCACTCAGATTGCATGTTGAAGCTGCACAAGTATTACAAGGTCTATTTGAGACATAACATTAAGGGATTTCATCCCATTTCCAGTTGTGTAGTACAACATGAAGGATAACTTCTGTCCCAACATGGTGGTCCAACAACAGTTTCTTTTTTTTGTACATTTGATCCTAATCAGAATTTATGGTTTTCCATTTTAAAGATTTAAGACTCAAGTCCACTTTTTATGACATCTTTAAAAATGTGAAAAATGTCTTTATATGCTAATATATAATGAATCTGTTAGTAGCAACACATTTGTGATATTATTCTACAGCACTAATGTTTCCATCCAGTGAACCACAATGATTATTTTAATTGCAATACCTCACTCTGATTTTTATGTTTGTAACATAACCCTTATGTACTGTGAATGAAGGATGTTTTAAATCCAGAGCTAATGTGCCTTATACTACAGCGCTAGCCTTTCTTAGTGAAAAATGGAAAGGTGAGCTAGAAACTCCTCGAAAACCTTTTTAATTTAAAGCAAAGAATAAACATGTTTCTGTAATTTAGGTGAAATACTTTTTATGTCAGAAGCCAAATTTAAAGGGTCTATAACTATAGTTTTTAGATTCATGAGGGATTCTTTATTTTTTTTTCTAAATAAAAGCTGTATGGAATTGTCATTTTAACATCCACCCACTACGCCATTGCTTACTGCAATCCTAACTAAACTTGTTTGTAATATTAAATATGTTAAAACATCACAGCAGTGCAGAGCAGGGCTGCTGAAAGTAATTTTGAACAGGGTGTGCTGTGAAAATGTTTTTCTTTTCTTTGCACAAAACATTTATGAGCCTATAAGCCTATTTAAAATAAAATAAATGAAAATAAATAGATAGAGATTCACTACTTCACTGTCATATACAATTCAGTGCATGCAACCAGGGACTGCAACACACAGACATCATCAGTTCTCAGGTGAATATGTGCGCTATTAATTAAACTTCACTCTAATCAGAGACAGACAGAGTCTCCTCACTCAGACTACTCTCCGTTGTCGTGGTTGCAGTACTAGTATTCTTCACTGGTGGTTGTTTTCCAAAAAAAATCTGAAATGCATTTCTGTGCAATATTTCCTCATTTCTGTCATTAGACTAAGGAATTTACTAGTCTGCTGCCGCGAGCTGGATACCTCTTTACTCAGCGACCACTAGCTTGCTTGACTTTGCCATAACAACGTAACTTCCATGAGGTTGTTGATTAGACCTTAAATCAAAAATACAAATACACGTAATAGTAAAAAAAAAAAAAGTCTAAATCATTTCACAAAATATTCATAGGAAATTTATAAATTGTGCAAAGTATTTTTAATACATTTTAAAAAACAAAATCTCCCTATCGCCACTAGGGGGTGCTGCAGCACCCCCACTTCCCACAGCCATTCTGCAGAGCACTAAACAATGCTGCATAACTAATGAGTGCTTGAGTCCAAGGTACAAACTAATGAAATATTCTTTAGGATTTTCCGAGAGAAATTATTTAATGGTTCTTTCAACTATAGGAAGTCATGCAGCTCTTAGGCCATCTTTGTTGGATTTTTTTTTTGTCCTGTTCCTTTTTAAGGCAGATGTAATAAGACCGTTTCCAAATGTGTTTTGGCAAGTGTGACACACAAGAGATGAGCTGCGCTTTTCTGTACTGTTCCTTGTTTTTGCGGAGTTCAAAGAGGATCCGTACCTTCAGTTTTCTGTCCTAAACTCCTATCATGGATAGAGTATTCTGTTTTCTAAAAATTTTTAATTGACTGTTTATGCACGAGTCTGCCACACTATATCTGCTGTGTGATTCCAAACCTGAGTGTTTTTTCCTGTGCGATTGCCAGATTTTATTTAGTATTTTCAACCCCAAGGCAGATGTGTTTTACTTTCTAACCCTGTCTCTCTTCCTGCCTGACCCATTAAATTGCAGGTGAATTGCTGCATAGTCTGACTAAATTAGACCTGGGGTCTATCTCAGTCAGAGCTATGAAAGCCCTCTGCAGAAAATCGTGTCGGGTGTGATCATTCCCACTCAATCTCAAAGAGCGCCAAACCCCACGACCTCGTATGACACGATTTCCTGTCGGATCAGACGCAAAATTGGATTTGGTGTGTCAAGGCTGAAAGGTAGACATTTTAGATATGTTGTGTGATCCCAAATGAGTTGCTGGTGATTTTGGAGCAATTTCAGTAGAAATTCTTCTAATGAGAAGTTCACTTCTCTTCTATGGTCTTCAACACTGGTTCTGTTTGTTTATCAGAGTCTCAAAGTTTTAGAAATGATTCCATAATTATGCTCAGACAATGAACTGCCAACAACTTTGCTAACATTTTTTCAGATAAGTTCTATTCAAGTGATATTTCAATTCTGAAGATCAGATAGTAGTCCAGCTGCCCCAAAGTAAAAAAAAAAATACTCCTTAAAATTAGTTTTGAATAAGGTTTTAAAATGTAAATGATTGGAAACATCCAAGTAACTGAACATTTTATAGACCAAAGTGGCCTTTCTTAATGCTGAGTCATTCACAAAAATGTCCTCAGTTTTGGTGTGTTAAAGACAACTCAACAGCAGATTTCCTCTTGCAGACTAAATGTAAGATTGTTGTTTTTTACGTTTTTGTTAACAGGTTATGAACACTCCTAAAAAATGTTCATTCAGCGACAGCATCTGAGGTTCATTCAGTCATATTTGGTTTGAAATATTAAGAAACAAGATAGAAGCAAATCAATAGAAGCAAAACTAGTTTATTTTAATGGAGGTGTAGCTACTTTAACATAAAGCAAGCAGCGGCATTCAGAATAACATTCAGCTGATTGGAAGCCAGCATACCTGCTTCCTGGATATGTTGAAATATGGAATGAATACATTATAAAAAACAAAAATGTAAACACAAATCGGAATAAAGCTTGGAATTAGGCTAGTGGAAGCCTAGCTTGTATTCGGGACAAAAGTTAAGACTTCTGCTAACTTCGTATTGATCCTCCGCACCTTCAATATCCTTGGTCCCAGACAGCAAAAGCAAAAAAAGTTAAAAAATAATCCTATGTCTTTCTATCAATGCAGTGCAAGCATAATAAGACTTTTATATAAAGTATTATGAAGAGTAAAGGACTGACAGCTGGTGTACATGTTGTTCTTTCTCCTGTTATGATCCCGTTTTTAAACCCGCTCATCATCCTGCTGTGCGTTTCTCTCTTTTACTATTCAGTCAAAAATCCACACAAACAGGAATGCAACTTATTCAGCTTTCATTTCTTTGTTCTCTATAAAGTAATACTTTAGATTTTGCAGTGTGTATAAAAAAGCATCAACCACAGCTGTGGCATTAACTCGTAATCCTCATCCAAATAATTGTTAATGTTCCAAAGAAGGATAATAATACCTGAGAAATGGTTTCGAATTTGTTTCTCGCTCGTATTCCTCAGATGCCTGATCGCTGGCTTTTTTCTGCTGCACCCCTCCTACTACTTTACCTCTACTCCCCCCTAAGCCAACATCTCATTACTATTCAAAGTTTGTGAGGGTTGACCCATTTGTAAGTGCCTTCATAGCGAAATCCAACTTTCTGAACTAGGTCATCTGCTTCTGAAGGGCCCCGACTGGGAAGGGAAAAAAACAATAGTTAAAAATTGGGTTCATAAGGAAAAACAATTTTTCTTTTTGTGAAGGCAGAATTAGCATTTTTTTACCTTCCATATTTATATGGTATAGGCTTTGGCTTTTCTTTATCTATCTGATGAAGAAGAGGGGTGAAGATCCTCCATGCTTCTCTCAGTTCATCACTGCAGATGTCGACAATAGAAGTTAAAACAATTGAAAAAGAAGAGCTTTTCACTACTTTTACTTGAACTTTTTTTACTAATCAGGTAGACTGGGGGTGCACTTTTGTACCATCTAATGAAGCTAATGCAGGATAAAATCTTTAACAAACAGAAAGAAACAGAAACAGACCTGCGTACAAAGTGCATTTGACTCCCACAGAACACATCCAGGATGAGTCGTTCATAAGCATCTGGGAGTTTCACATCCTGAGAAAAAAAAAAGATCCAAAAAAAGTTTAAATGGAGATATAATACAGCTAACATGATACTGACATACATTGTAAGACTGTCATTAAATAGGTTAAAAAGTGTCTTCGCTCATTTAGAAGTAAAGTAATTTACATTAGCTATATACCAAAGTCAGGATTTTAGGGTTATTGACTTCCACACATCTTTTCAGCTCTTCCACTATTTTATTTTATTTTTTTGACAGAAGAACCATTTTTCCACCGACATTTAATGCATAAGCATGATTTTTAAATGTCGGTGGAAAAATGGTCTAGAACTGGTCTAGAACTGTTTCCCAGCTGTCCTGGGTTCCTCCTGCCTAAGTGGAACATATGTCGCTGCTGGCTTCAGTCAGATTTCTCAGAAGCTCTATTATTTCTGATGTGGCCTTTATAACACAGATTCTACATGGCTTGAAATGTAAGAATATGTTTTACTTCCACACACAAACACCCACACACATATTAGACTATTATTATATATTAGAGTTGTAATATCTTTTAAAAAAGTAGCAGGCAGGTGGTGTTGGTGGGGGGCGGTACTATGCAAGATTTTCAATCAGCACAACTAATCAACATGAGCTTGCCTTGTATCTGCTTTTGTAAGTAAGGTCCAGCTCGGTTTCTTCAGGGCTAAAGTAAACACCAGGTTTCTTGCTCATCATCTTGGCGTAGATGGCCTCGTTTGGTTGCACCCGCACCACCAGCTCATTCCTCTGACACTTGGTTTCAAAAATATCTCCTGGGACGTCCGTGAACTGCAGCCGCACCTCGGCTTTCCTCTCATTCAGAGCTTTACCACAGCGCAGGACGAAAGGAACGCCTGAGGAGGAACATTTGACAGGCTTTACATGAAAAGAACATTCAAATATTGCATTATTGAAACTTTCAAGAGCCGAATCTCTTTACCATCCCAGCGTTCGTTCTGTACATAGAGCACAGCCGTGGCAAAGGTGGCCTGAGTGGATCCTTTTGGCACAGTGGGATCATCGAGATAACTTAGTTTAGCATCTCCTTCACCATCAGGGTTCCCCACATACTGACCAAGCACCACATCTGACATGGACACTGGAGAAATACACTTCAGCACCTTCACCTAGAAGAGGAAAGTTGTTTTGATTTAGCTGCTAAATGTAGAGGGGTTGTGTGTGCAGCAGACAAATTTAGTACCTTTTCATCCCTGACATCATCAGAGCTGGTGGAAGCTGGTTTCTCCATGGCAACCAAGCACAGCATCTGGAGCAGGTGGTTCTGCATGACATCTCTGATCGGGACAAAGGGATCAAACAGCTCGTCACATCAAAGACAGAATTATGCCTTTCATCACAGTGGAGAAAAGGATTATTGGAATACATTTACTGTTAAATCTAGATGCTTATGAAGCACCTTAATGAAAAACTTCATTTTAGGTTTTCTAATTATGAACATTTCCCCAGATATCCTTCTCCTTCTTTATTTCAGAAGCATAATCCTTCACACTAAAAATAGTATAGGAGTGCTATGGTTAATTTCAGTGCATCTACTTAATTGGGGGGAAAAAAATAAATAAAATAAAAACATTGGCAGCACCCAATTTTAATTTAACATATATTTTTTTAGCTTAATTTTTAAGAGATAAATGAGCAACTTTTCAACAAGAGAAAGCAGAGAGACACTGGGAAAATAAGAGACAGGAAAGTATTTTTTTTTTTTATGAAAATCAAGCAAAATCAGTATTTTTGGTATAAAAAAACAAAACTATTAATAAAAAAGTAAGAAAGGCTTAATTATGCTAAAAAGTAATAATGGCACTGACAATATTTAAGTTTACCTATCATTCATTTATATATTCTGTGTAATATTTTATAAAATTGACATTGCATCAAGATTATTCTAAGATGGATATAATGAAAGATGCTAGATTCTCTCTAATGCCCAGGTTTGTGTGAACTAGGAAGGACTTAAGATTCCATTTCTCACATTTCGATTATCGGTGCAAACCAAAAACATGCTATTTAAAAAGACAAAAAACAGACATTCAAAAGGAAGAAAATATTTCTGAATTGGAGTTTCTTTTCCATTCATTCACCTAATGATGCCAAAATCATCAAAGTAACCTCCTCGTCCTTGTGTGCCAAAGGGTTCTTTAAAGGTGAGCACGACACAGGCAACGCTGTCTCTGTTCCAGATGGGCCCAAAGATTCGGTTCCCAAACCTGCAGTGAAAACGCCATCATTATTCCAAG